CAATGAAAAATCCAAAAATGCAAAGGACAACAATATGAATAACTTCAGCCAAATGGCTGAATGATTTAAATTTAAAAGACCAATCGCCATCAGGCGACTGGTTAAGATTGTTTTCTGGCAAAGCCAGAGAAATTGTTAAAGTACCCGACCCCTTGGTCGGTAAAGATACATCAATACTCGGCACGCAGGCCGAAAAATCAAGTACATGGCCATTCGGCCGCAGAAAAAACAAAAAGCTTAAGTGATCAGGGGAGAGCCTCTTCATTGGCAGCCGGCCTGTTGTCCTTCGGCTGCTCTTCATCATTTTTCTCTTGACCCTCCACCTGATCTTCCTCCTCACCACCAGAGGATGACTCCCTAGAAGAGTCGGACCAAGAGCTTTCCTCGGCCTCAGCAGCATCCTTAGCTGCATTCCCAGCCTCTTCAAGAAGGCGAGCGTCGAATGCTTTGCTGGCTTCATCAAACTTCGATTTCCAAGTCTTATAGTCCAAGTTCGGCTGCACAGCCGCCCAAGTGTCCCGCATGATGGCATCATAGTCGCTCATCATTTGCTTAACAAGAGCCTCTCTCTCTTATTCAGCCACGGACTCAAACTTGGTCTTCAACTGATGCTCCTGGTTGCTGAGGCGCTGCTCCAGGCGGCCCACCTTCTGCTTGGCTTTCTCGGCCTCTTCCTTGGCATCCTGAAGAGGCTCGAGCTTCTCCTTAAGATTTGTGATTTCTTTCTTAAGGGAAGTGATGCGCAAGCGGGCCGAGTCCAGGTCCTTCTTCACCTGCATATTGGCTTCCGCCTGCGAATACATCATATCAAGCGTCAGAAACTCATTTTGAGCAATATAAAATTGAGCTCGATCCAAGGCGGACTCGACCCGAGCTTTAGCGGCTGTTACCTCTTTGGACTTCTCCTTGAGAGGTTGCCTGAGCCCTTGGACGCGCAGCATGGCCTGCAAAAAGAGTCGAATGGTTAAAACCAGGCGGATAAAGACTTGAGCCAAAAAAAAAAAAAAGAATTGAATTGCTTAAATTAAGACTCATACCTCGCAGAGGTTTCCCAAGATGCCATCCAAGTCCAGAGTGTCGACTCCTCTGACAGACGCCTTGTCGTCAGGATCAACCGCCCTCAGCATGGACTTGGCCATCTGGATTACAGTCGGCCTCTGCACAGGGACTGAGAAGGAAAGAGAGTTAGAAAAATAACACAAGTATATCTAAATGGAAGAACAAGAAAGGCGAATGGTTTTTACCGTCGTCCTTTGGTTCCTCCTCTTTCCCCAGACTCCTCCTCTCTCTTGCTGAGCCGACAGCAGTGGTGGGTTGCTTGAAGCCACCCTTCGATGTCCTCTGGACATCCGGTTTGCTGATCTCCTTTTCAGCTTCGAGAGAAGAGGCGTATGGGCCTCTCTTGGGCTTGTGAGCAATGTGCTTCCGGTCGCCCTTGCCGGATGCGCTCACATCACCTGCCCTTGTCTTTTGGATTTTAGGGTCGGATGGTTTTGAAGGAGATTTGGTAGGGGCACCCTACATCAACACAAGATAAAACAAGTTAGAAATCATTCGGACAAATTTAACATTGGTCAGAAATGATAAGTATAACAATTTCTCACCTTGGGGGTGCCGCCAGTTTTCTGCTCATCCACTTTGGTGTGGGTGGTTGCCTCTGCCCTGTTTAAGACATTCGATCTGTATCGAGCAGCAGATACAGTCGGCTTCCTTGTGGCCGAGAGATTCTCCATTGCCTAGTCTGCAAAAATGAACAGGTGTTAGCACCATCAAACAAGTATTGAAAAGCAAAATGAAATTGCATATAAAACAGACGGCCAACTACCTCTCGGCATTTCAGAACTTAGCCCACAGGCGGCTAAGAATGTTCCTTCTTCAAACCATTTGTACAAAGGGAGATAGCATTGAGGGGTGACCTCCTTGTCCCCCTCATCATTCGTCCACACGGACACGGTAAACAACCCCTGGTCCATGATCTCCTCCTTTGCCCGCCTAGGAAGAGGCGGTAATGCACTCCTGCCTGCTAGGAGAGGTGGATTCTTATTCCACCTGTTATACTTTTGGTTTAGGCGGCTGTCGGCAGACTTGACTATGTAAAACTTAGTCCTCCAGTCTTTCCACTTGTTCTCTTTGCCAACAGCCATCATGTACCCTTTGCAAGTGTTCAAGATGTACCAGCCCTCACCGCCCCTAGCAGGCGCCCTGCTCAGATAGTGCATGTGGGCGAACGCTTCAAAGCTCGCCTCCACCTGCAGCATCTCACAGGCGGCAACGTACCCCAAAATATTAATCCAGGAGTTAGGTACAAGTTGCCAGATACCCAGTTGGTATCCATCCAAGATCCTCTCCACGGCAAGATGGAGAGGGAAGCGGAGGCCAGCTTGGAAGGCCGCTTCATAGCAGCCGAATGCTCTATCCTGATAGCTGGCCAAGCTCGGCCAGGTAATGGTGTCGCCCTCGTTAGGGACCGACAAAGTATAGCCATAGCCTAGAACGACCTTGCGTCTAAAATTGGCAAGGCCGGATGCCATGGAGCTCCGCCTGCTGGGTGGAACATGATGATAGTAGGGGGCTCTCTCCAAGCGCATGGAAGCACTCGGCTCGGCCCAGCTTTCCCCCTTATCCACTGCCAGGGACTCCCTGGCATAATCTATTTTTGTTCTTGCCTCCTCTGAAGTTATGGAGGCATTCTCTGAAGAAGATGACGAGGTCGACTCGTCATCAGAGCTCTCATCAGAGCTAGGGGACCGGTGCCAGCGGGGTCCTCCCCTAGACTCTCTTCCGGCGCCTGTCCAGAAGGCCCGGGTTGATATTCTTCATTCGCCTCCTCCAGGATTCCATCACTGGGAGTTCCACTGGATGTGGGCGAATGGTAATAAGTGGGGGTTGGAGGAAGATAAGAAGGGCTGTCAGGATGTTCCGACAGCTCACTTCAAGGCACCCTTATTGAGTCGTCTGAATAAACAGTCGACCCATCCGAATGGTAGAAAATTCCATCGGAGCTACACTGTCTTGCTGTTCTTTTGGTTCTGGTCATTGTGTCCTGCACAGACACGGAAACGGTCGGATTCGGAGAAGTTCGCACAGCAGGGTCTTTGGCCAAGCATTTGGCACTGCTAGTTCTAGATTCAGCCGTCCCCGGTGACCGGCTGATCACTATCCTATGCCGTGCCGCATGCAATTGGGGAACCATTTTTTCGAAAACAAAGAAAAAATGAAGAGTAAACGAAAAAACAGGCGTTACCTTTAGAAGAAGGGTGAAAGACGCTTGGTTGACTGAAGAATGGTCGGACAGTTGGCCGAGTGTCGGATGCTTGAAAAGTTAAAACGCTTAGGGAATTTTGAGATTCTTTAAGTCAAAAAGTCCAAGATTCTCCAAAGATTCGCAAAGGTGTGAATCCAAGGGGGGTCAAACCTCACTATTTATAGGGGGTAAACCCTAAAAATTTTCCCTCCAACAGTAACTTTTTGAATCTGACCATTCAGATACTAACACCTGTCACAGGTGTCACGTGCAATGCACGTGACCCCTGTGAGGGGCAAATGATTTGGGTATTTTATACCCGGCCAGGTGGCCCAATCAGAAAGCGCCACGTGTCCTCCAAAGAGGTGCCATTTGGACCTATGGACTGATGACACGTGGAGGGCAGACACTCTTCTGTCCTACGCAGACTGATGATCCAGCATGGGCCATCTAGATGGCAACACGTGTCACCCAAAAGGTGCCCAAAAACCTTTTAGGCTTAGTGACACGTGTCACTCAGGCATTGCCCCTGGGATGGCGGCCTTCAAAGCCCGAATCCCGAGGCGCCGCAAAACGGCGTGACCTAATTCTTAGGTCACCAGATCCTAGGAGGGGCACACTTTCCAAAAGGACCCGATAAATAGGGACATTCTTGCATTTATGACAAGACAGAGAATATACACGCAATACGAGACAATACATCACTTATCACACCTTACCTGAGCTTGGAATCCAAGCAGATAACTTACTATCCGCACGTTTTATTACCGAACGCTTACTAACTTAATCTTCGGAGGCGGACCCCCGACCATCCGGCGGTCCGTTTGCTTTGCAGGTACAGGCGTCCTCTGTTGAATCCAGTCTCAGTGTTGTAACTCTCCCAAGGGACAAAAACCCCCAAAACAGGTGGGATTGGGAATTTTAATCCCAATTGAAAAAATAAGCCTTGTTTGTTTGGTGGGAATGAGAATAAAAAAAGGGTTTGGGAATGAGATTATTTATGGGTGAATTCCCACCATTTTATAACCTAGGGAGGGTAGGTAATAAATGGATGGAATGGGAATAGAGGGAAAATGACATTTTTGCCATTAATGAAAAAAATGAAATAATAATCTTAGTAAGGGTATTTTTGTAAAATTATTATTTATTCCCTATATATTCCCACCCACTATCCAAACAAGGTATTGACATATTTTCATGTATTCATACCTTTTAATCCCCAAACTCCCATTCCCACCTTTTAATCCCCAAACTCCCATTCCCACAATCCAAACGCTCCGGCATTGCCAAAAAAAATAGGGTTTTTTTTCACCATATGCCCCTAAGTTTTTTGTTTATTCACCATATACCCCTAAACTTTTGTAAATTCATCATATACCCCCGAGTTTTTACAAAGATACACTATATACCCTGGATGACTAATGATTTTTAATTTTGTCAATCATTAAAGCTAATTATGAAGTGAAATCATCCTAAATACATTCCCCTACCTCCGAAACTACCCACATTCCTTTTTCCCATCCCAAAACCACCCTAAATTTACTTTTCTCGTTCTCAAAATCAATCATACAAATACGGTTATGGAGATTTGGAGTGATTTTGGGGTTGGAAACAGAAGAGGAGTGATTTTGGGATGAGGGGGAGAGAATTTAAGGTAGTTTCGAGGTAATTAACCAAATTTCACTCTTCTTATTTTTATTAGGGGTACATAGTGAATTTTTGTAATAACTTAGGGGTATGTGGTAAATTTGAAAATTTTCGTAGGTATATGGTGAATAAACCAAAAACTTAAGAGTATGTGGTGAAAAAACCGAAAAAAATACTATTAAGTAGTATAAAAAAAAATAATAAAAGTTAATAAAAAAACCTTATCCCCCATTTTAGGAAAAAAGAAGACCCGCTGGTTTCTTGGTTTGAAAGATAGCCTTCTTTATATGCTAGTTTCCTCCCTTACTTCCTGCATCACTACCACTAGATCTTCCTTCTCTTTGCATTCCTGCTATCACATTTTCCGGAATTTAACGCCGTCGCTTTCTCATCATTCAGGTCTCCTCTTCTCTCTTTTTTTTTTCCTCTTCTGATTTGTGACTGCCACTGTTTCCAGCGGTCGCCATTCCGTCCGAGGTGGCGGTGATGATGATAGCTCAACTCGTCATTTAATTTTGCAAATTACTACATTATAATGTAATTTCAATAAATTAACATACTAATTTGTAGTTATATGATTTTATTTTTAAGATTACATTATGATTTTCAGATCTAATTTGATGTTTGATTGTACTTCCCATTTGTAATCTGCTTGATCTAGTTCATCTACTGTGTAATTTTGATAATCTTGTAAATTTTCGGACTTGATAATTTAAGTTAATTAGTTACTTTGTTATCATTGATTACCAGTTTTTCAACTCTGATCTTCAATTTTCAATTTTGAATTGGAAATTGTGTGTGAGGATGAGATAATAATACGATTACGACTTGCAAACTTATGACAGGTGAAATTTATTGCTCAAAAATGGCTGCTAAGCCCTCAATAATCGCGCTGTTCGATGTGGATGGCACCCTTACTGCTCCTAGAAAGGTGGTGTTTCTTTCCCCTCAATTCTTATAATTGGAAACTATACATTTATTGTTTTTTATTATTGTAATGTATATTTCTATTTGCTGAATTATGGATGTTAGTATGATTTAATTTCATCGGTTTTAGATGGTTTTGCGTGCAGATCTGCATCTCAAAAAATATAATTATGTTGTTATAGAAAAGGAACTTTGAAGTGTGATTTGCAGTACTCAATATTTTATGAAAACTTTCCCTGATTTCGCATTTCATTGGCAGGAGGTAACGCCTGAAATGCTGGAATTCATGAAAGAATTGCGAAAGGTACATTCTTAAGTTTGAATGCTCCAAAGTTGCACAGCTCCACTGCCTTATCAAATTTAATTTTAGAAGTGTTTGATGTTAAAGAAAGTCAAAATTTGCACTGTGTTTTGGAATTAAATGTTCTATTTGTTTCTCATCTCATTCAAATCCAATATGCACAATATATGCCGATTAGATTGTATGTCGAGCAGCTAGTATTGATGCAGCTATTCTAATGAAAAATTAAGAAAAGTTAAAGGGATAATAACTTCTCCCTCTGTTCTAGACTTCATCTATCTCAGATTAATTTGAACACCTCTTACTTAGGAAAATAATGGGAAGAAAAGAAGGCCCTGTAGCCCTGTAGTCGATGATAAAATGTGTATTCATAATTAATATTTAGCAGCAGAAAAAGTTGGGGAAATTCTTCATCTAGTATAACCCATGGCTTACTGCAGGTTGTTCCTGTTGGTGTTGTTGGAGGATCGGACTTAATTAAGATATCTGAGCAACTTGGAAAGACAGGTCAGCTTATCAACACATTATTTTCTGCACTCTTTCTGTCATCTTTAATCGTTTTTCTGCAGACAGAATAGTAAATTCTGAATTCTATTTGTCACCAAACGTTGTATTGGGTTTTATATATATTGAATATGGTATCCTATCACTTACAAATTTCAATCCTTATCTTGAAATATAGTTAGTTTTGGATGATCAAATAGAATAGGAAATTTTTGCTTTGACCTTACTTCTTATACAACTTCATTATCTTTGTTTTGTTTGTACAGTAATTAATGACTATGATTATGTTTTTGCGGAGAATGGACTTGTGGCTTATAAAGATGGAGCAGAGATTGGCATCATGGTAATCATCTAAACCTCGTGTATGATAATATATATACTGAATCTGCTATAACATTGGATCATATCAGTTCACTAAGCATCTTTATCTGGAATAAAAAAGTTTTCATGTTGGAATCTGAAGTTTTTTTAAAGCTTGGTTAGTTTGTTCCTGGTCTTTTAGTTGTTTGCCTCATTTAGCATGTGTTCCAATCAAATGTTGGAGACAATGGATCAGTCTAACTTTCATGTAATTTCTTTTGTTTTTTGATTAACTACTACAGTTTGGTTGCCTGAGCTGTAGAAGAAGTCAGTTTGTATGAACTTATTATGTTGAGAAAAATATATTTGTTCTTTAATTTCAAATAACAAACTTCGCATTTATGATTATTAGACAAATAATGGAAAATAATTAATAAAACAGGTGATTGCATATTGTTGATATATACAATTACTTTCCTATTTACCAGACAATCATAAGCTTCGTATTATATGCATATGTTATGAATTGTTTATATATGTTTTCTATAAAGGAAGCTTGGTAATTGGTGTGCAAGAGAAATGCCAAGTGTTTTAGTGCTCTGCTTTTTATTTATGTGTTAGTATCATGTCTGTGTGTAGATGAAATAGTCATATTGATAAGGTTTCTTTTTAGTCATATTGATAAGGTTTCTTTTTAGAGTAGAATAGTGTTGAAGATTTCAAGTTTACATACTTCCCATGTCTAATGAGCGTGTGATGGTGTTGCAGAGCTTGAAGAAACTTCTTGGAGAAGAAAATATCAAGGTAAGAGTAGATGAATTGAAGAGTTGATGAACTTCATATAAATAGGAATAGAGGATGTTATACTTGAGGTCTTGAGTGAGGTCATATCAGGATTCTAGTTGAACACAATCAAGTCATGAATGCTTGCTGATGGGGACTGTCTAAGAGGAACACCATGGTTAATATCATTAATTTGGATAATAATTGTATCAGGGTTGCTTGATGGATAATGGGCAACTTTAGGTATGGTTTAGTGTTAGAAAGTCCTGAGAGTTAAAGTGTTGGACATGTCTGAACCGGTCAGCCCTGCTGTGGATTATTGGTATGTGTTAATTTTCTGTATAGTGTAGTTGAGTTTACAGTATGTTGTTTCAGGAGTTCATCAATTTTACGCTGAAGTACATTGCAGACTTGGATATTCCTATAAAAAGGTATCTGTGGATGTGTATGAATCTTCAAATATATTTTTTTATACTATTGCAAGAGCATTACTTATTATTTTTGCCAATCAATATTTTCAGGGGAACATTTATAGAGTTTCGAAATGGGATGATTAATGTTTCACCTATTGGGAGAAATTGTAGTCAAGAAGAAAGAGATGAATTCGAAAAGTATGACAAGGTAGTACCTTGGTTTTCCTGTGCATATACTCTCTTAGATAGATAAGATTTGTTAGCTTTTCAATGATCATCTTTAAGGATTATATAACATCTTGTACAGGTCCAAAAAATACGTTCAACTATGGTTTCTATATTGCGTGAGAAATTTGGTCACTTAAATCTGACATTTTCAATAGGAGGGCAGATAAGCTTTGATGTAAGTGATTCTTAATCTTTTAAAAAGCTGTTAAAATTACCAATGAATAGAAATTCTCATCTAGGTCTTACATGTTATAGGTTTTTCCTCGAGGTTGGGATAAGACCTATAGTCTGCGGTACCTTGAGGATTTCAGTGAGATTCACTTTTTTGGTGACAAAACTTTTGAGGTGAGGTGTATACTTAATTTTTATTAGTTTTACTGATCTCCAATGCCTACATTCTCTGTCCATTGTGCTGTATATTAGTCTACTCTTGTCTCACTTTTTGTTCCTTCACTTGCTTCATAGCAATAGTGTTGAGTTTTTTCTTTCAGCATGTCATATGGGTACATTGTGTGTTGTAGACTGGTAATTTAGACAAATTCAGAAAAATTGCTGTCAGGCAATTTCAGGTTATAAATAAAAAGGGCTTAATAAAGTTTAATTAAGCTCAATAAAGTTTATAAAAGCAAAAATCAGGTGAATAGAAGAGTATTGGGATTTGGGACTTAAGAGTAAGTGTTGGATTGTTGGTTAGATAATCAAGAGATTTAAACACAAGTGTGTTGAATACTTTGATATGGATTTTTCTCTCTGTGTACAAAGATGGTACTTCGTTATTATGAGGATTTAGCCTCCTTTCTAACAAGTGAGGAGAATACACGTAGCAGCCCACTTTGTTATACACAATTTGTCCTCGTATGTTAAGTATACATATCTTGACGTTAGGTAAACCCTATATTATAAATTCATAATTAACTATCAAACCCTAATGTTCTAGATAAATCCTTAGATGTAACTACACTAACATCATGCATTGTAGCTCTTTTCTAGGCAAATCCTTTAATTATCCCTGACAATTCATTCTAGATTATTCTTCTGAATGCTTTTCCTGAAACTCTTAATAACTCATTTTCTGTATGCAGAAACCTGAAATGAAACTGTTCCACCAGTGCCACCAAACAATTCTTTCCATAACCCCATAATTAAATTATCCATGCTTGGCAATCATGTGTGGTATCCTCAAAAGTGAATTCCTATGGAGGACATGCTTCTCTAGAGGCAAGAATAGTGCCCCATTGTTAAGGAGCTAAGTCAGTTGGCCTATGATTTAGGAATAATGTCGTGACTCATGACTAACATGAGTACATTTTATGGGTTTATAAGATAAACTTTTTGGACTGGTGTGTCTTGCTAAAATCATTGAAGACATAGGCTTCGTAACTTTAAGAAAATCACAAGTTGATAATACCTTTTCTGAAGTATACTACCTGTTCAAATACTCCAACATATGTTTAGTTAAACACCCAAATGGATAATTATGTTGGTTATTGTGCTTGCTTTATGTTTTTGGTTCAAGTACTTTGATTATCAGTTCCTTTTTTTATTATTATATGACCTGTTCATGTTGCAATTTAAAGTAAGTGTACATCTTGGCAGCATCTAACTTCCAGCATTCGAAAGATTATGAGACGTATGAAAGGATAACATTGTTCTGTTTCATTTTAAGAGTAGTTGCATCAGTAGTCCACTGCTGACACCACAATAATGTGTATCACAATCTTTGTTTTTCTATAACTAGGTTCTGGCTTCCTTTTGCAGGGTGGAAATGATCATGAAATCTTTGTATCTGAGAGGACCATTGGTCATACAGGTGAGCTAATTCTATTGATTTTATACATAAATGATTGTCAAGGTCTGAGGTCCATCTCTTTATGCAACACTACTCTTTTTATGTTAAAGTGGTTACTCGGTATCATCCTTGAAACACATTGTTTTTGCTGATTACTCCGTCCATCCCTTAGAGTTTGCCTCATTTTACTTTTTAGGCCGTCCCTAAAACATTGCCACATGCTTTAAATGTTCATGAGTGACCACAACTTTACTCATGCACACTTTATTGTTAATCCCACCACTTTGTTTCCTCATCATGTCCACCCTACCAGATCTTAACGAAGTATTATAGAAAAATTGGCTTTGGTACAAGCAATTGGGGACAGAGGGAGTACTAACGTGTTCAAGGTTAACACAATGTGCTTTATGACATTTTGCATAGGTTTATTGTGTTTGAGTTGTACTAAAATCAGTTGTTTTACAATTCTCAGTTACCAGTCCTGAGGATACAAGGAAGCAGTGTACAGAGATCTTCCTGACCAAGAGAGAATGAGACATCTGCAGGACTGCAGACTACATCATATGCTGACACTAAGTTTTTCTAGAAAATGGACTACAAACCTATACTGAACATTATATTAAACAAGCAAAAAATTCATATCCACAAAATGCTGAAATTCATCATATACCTGTATTATTTGTATAAGGAAGATTTCCCTAAAAATTGTTGAATTGTAAATTAATTCCCTATTTGAGTTGGTCTAAAAATTTATTCCCACAATATTGTCCACGTAGGTTTGGTAGATTTTTTTTTATTTTTTGCAAAGAACCGCTAACGGTGATAGCGGTTCTATACTTATAAAACCGCTAATGTCGTTAGCGGTTCTTGTATTAGGTTGTTGTATAAGAAAACTTCACAAGTTAAAACTCAATATAAGAACCGCTAATGACGTTAGCGGTTTTATAACAAGTATAGAACCGCTATCACCGTTAGCGGTTCTTTGTAAAAAAAAAATTTTTAAAAAAAACACCAAACCTTTTTCCAATCCTACGTGGACAATATTATGGGAATAAGTTTTTAAACCGACGCAAATAGGGAATTAATTTACAATTCAACAATTTTTATGGAAATCATTCTTTGTATAACGTTGTAGGAAGAGAACTTTTATTTTTCCTGGTAAATGGCGTCAAGGAATTTATGCAAGCCTTGCCACTTTACTACATTGTATTTTTTGTTTTTGTTTTTTTGTGACATTGGTGTACTTCATTGTACGGAGCACTTTAAAGACAAATGCTTGGTGTAATAGGGAATAAATATACGTTTTTGCTCTTACTGAGGAACACAAGATAGAAAATGTACTTTTTGAAGTGCAAGATGAGAGCATGAGAGTGCCTAGGGTCTATTCTCATACGTTTATTTTCAGCTCAATTCAGTTCAGCTCTTAATTTTTTTCTCTTATAAAATATTCAATTCAGTTCGGCTCAGCTCAATTCAGTTCAGCTGAGTTTAGTGTATGAGAACATGTCCTAAGTATGTAAGTTAATGCTGCTAAGGAGCAGATCAGATTGTAACCATTTCTAAAATTGTTAAGATTTGTAGCTAAAAGCATGTTTAGTATAGTATTTTTGAGTGGTGGAAATGAAATCAATCAATCATTTCCATTACCTAATACGAGAGGCATGATAATACACTCCATTTTCTAGGGGTGACTATCACCGGGTAATTCTTATCCTTGCACCGTTCAAGCTTCAAGGATTCCAAATCAATCTTTGCACAACATATATTGTACTTCGTAATTTGGTAATATCAATTTGATAAAGTATACTCTATTACGGAGTGCTATTAAATATGGTACGGAGTAATTTGGTAAGCAAAGTGTTGCCTTGTGAATGACTTTATGCTGTTATGTATGCAAACATTAAGTACTATCTCAAACATTAATTTGGTAATTGATGTAAAATTGATATACGAGTAATATCTCAAACTTTGTGACTTTAGATAGCTAGTAGCACGATAGTTACCACCAAGGCCGACATTATAAGCAATTCCAATGGTTGTATCTAGGGAATTAATTGCAATTTCAATAATTTTCTAGCTACTAGTTTGACCATTGGAGCTAGAAAACTCAATTAGCTTGACTTTGCTTGGGAGTTAAATTTACCAAAGTAAAATGCTCATTGCATCAATTAAGTTTTTTCCATGTATTTTCTATCCAACGACTACTACTAAGCTAATAGCTAATCATTGGAGCAAAAATAGCTAAAGTGATAATTAGCTTAAAATCTTATTTGGCATGGCAAGCTAATTGTCAAATTAGTTTGTCATTGGCAATGGCGGATCTAAGAGAGAATAATGTGCAAAGTTTTTACTTGTTAGTTCTTTATTTCATCTACATACCTCCTCCGTTCCTTTTGTATTAATACGAATCTTTAAAAAAAATGACTATATTTTCCTTTACTTGTAAATCATAATTTATGGTTACAAAAGGCGATAAATGGTGTCAAAAGTTTAAACTATTAGAATAAATATTACAGTTTATACCTTGCCCATGAATTTCATTAAATATTTGCAAAAAAAGGATCCCCTTGGGAGCCAAATACATCCGTCAATGGCCATTAAAGTTTCTCTAAGCGTAAGAAGGAATTGCCTAGGACCCAGGTTAGGGAAGGGACCCAAAAAAAAAATGAAAATTTATATAAATTGAAGTGAAGGGCTCTTGTTTACATTTTTTTATAGGACCCATAAAAATCATGATCAAGGCCCTTCACTAAAGATTAAAAAAATAAATATACAAAATCATATCTTTTCCCACCACTATTACATACTACCTTTGTTTCTTTTTAGTTGACACGTATTCCTTTATAGAAAGATTTTTTTAGTTGATGTTTCCTTTTGGGGTAAATTTTTTACCTTGCATTTACAAACTACTCCACTTGCTTTTTTATTCTCTTTCACTCTCTCTCCTCTCCTTAATATATGTGCCCAAATCAAACGCGTCAACTGAATAGAAACGGAGGAAGTATTAGGCTTATTATAGTAACCATAAGTCTATGCTTCTCCGTTATTCTCCTATTGACACGTCACATTTTCCATTGCTTTTTATAGATTTAATAAAGTATTATGCAACTTGCTTGCTAGGGTTGGACACTAGATGATTTTGAAAATTTTCTATAAGAGCATTGATTAATATAAGAGCCACACCCAATTTATCTCCTTGATAAACATTTAAACGGGTCATTTAAACATTTAAAATCTTCTTCTAATCGAGGATTGGCTCTTCCTTCTTCGTCGTTGCTCCATCTTCCGAAGGGTTTAGGAGGTTTGGGAATTCGCAGTATTGCCCCTTTTAACTCCTCCCTGTTGGCTAAGCAGAGTTGGCGGCTTATTTAGTGTCCTCAATTGTTGGTTTCCCGGCTTTTGTTTGCAAAATATCCGACTCTTCGTCCCATTGATTCAATCTCGGTTTCTCGTCCCTCTTGGGGTTGTAGGGGTCTTATGTCGGGATTTTTCGTGTTGTCGAAGGGTCTGTTTTGGAAGGTTGGTTCAAGTTCAGGTTCTCGTGTTCGTATTTTGGAAAATTCCTGGGTGCCGGGGGGACCGGTTCATTTTAAGGATCTTCCGGATGAGTCAATTCGACCGACTCTTATGTCTTCTTTACTTGATCCGCGTTCTTGCATGTGGGATGCTTCTATTATTCATGGCCTGTTTGAATCTAGCTCTGCTGCTAGAATTCTTTCGTTGGATCGGCCAGTGCGGTTGATGGATGATTTTGTTTACTGGAAGTTCATTAGGGATGGCGTTTATTCAACAAAATCTGGTTATGCACTTCTTTGTGAGCCTAGGGTCTTGTCTAGTAGTCAATCTCAAATTTCTCTGGCATGGTGGAGGAAGTTTTGGGCTTTACCAACTCTTCCTAGGTGGAAAATCTTTGGTTGGAAATTGCTGCATGACGCTCTTCCTTTAGTGACTATTCTCTATGCTCAAGGTCTTCCTATTGATCCAGTTTGTGCTTTTTGTCATGCGGATGTGGAATATGTGTCTCATACATTCAGAGATTGTCCTGTTATCTGCAGTCTTTGGCTATTTGGAGCGTTGGGCATTCAATGGGATCTTATGCAATTATTTCCTTCGTTTGGTGTTTGGTTCTCGCGTACAATTTCTCATATTTGGTCATTGAAGGACCGGAAGGGTATTGCTTCATTATTTGCTCTTCTCTGGGCGATTTGGATTTCTCGTAATCATCTGAGGTTTAGAAATCTGTTTGGTCGCCTGGGACTATTATTGGTTTGGCGTCAGAGTGGTTTCTTTGTGCTATGCAGGCTCAAACTTGGAAGAGGTCTTCGAAGTCTTCTTGTTTGGTTCGTTTGGAGGATAAGAAGGATGTCCGATGGCATTGTCTGCGAGGGTTACCTAATATCTCTCCAACGGCTTGTTTGATCATATATGGGGCATGGGATTGTTCTACTTATAGGGCTGGAGCAGACTGAATAGTCCGTGAGCTTCATTCTTCTGAGGTACTTGGAGGTGGATGTCGGGCTTTTATGGCAAGTCCAGCGTTGCAGTCTGAGCTTTAAGCTTGTGTTTGGGGTTTGGAGTTTGCTATCCATAGAGGCTACTTGAAAATCCGGGTTTATACAGATTGTGTTGCCCTACATGCTCTTTTTCCTCCTTTTGGGTCAATGGAAATTTTGGCTTGGTGGCTCATTCAGGAGATGCGGGCTTTGGTTCAATCCCTTTTGGTTTGTCAGGTTCAACAGGTTCCTCGTTTGTGGGTTACTCCGACTCACTGGTTAGCTGGTTGTGCCCGACGTCGTCAATTGTTGTATTTTTTGTTTTAGCTTTTTGGTTGACATATGTTGTATTTGTTTGTTTCAATTTATTTGATAGCTCTTTTTTTTAAAAAAATGGTCATTTTATCAACCAAATGAAGGCTAATTTTGTCATTCTTTCCATCTTCTTCCTTCCGTCATTTTTCCATCCACCGACTGTCATCGACTTCTTCCTCTTTCAACTACCTTCAACTTCTTCTTCCTCATCCACCCACTCACCGTCATCCTCTTCCATTTCCAACACCACTATTTCGAACATTGGTACACCGACACCTTCATCTTCTTTGTCTCCACCGATACCAACTCCATTTTTTGTGGCAGATTTGTTGCCATTTACATGAGAACCTTAAGTAGAAGGTCAAGGGGATTCCCTTCTACTAATTGTGAGCTTTCTCCACTAATGATGAAGTAAGAAATTTGGCATCCATTTTTTTCGTAACTTGTAGCCAAACAGTAAGAAACAATAGGCAAATGTCACTTCATGCAAGTGGCTAAAAGTAAAAGTACATTTGGCAAATTAATTGTTAATATAATGAACATTACTCATTTTATTTACCAATTTGCCACCAGATTAACGAAATTCATTAATATTGATGATCAACTTAGATTTTCTCTTATTATAGGTGATTTAAATAATATATACTTACATTCAAAAAATTTATATAATTCAAAACAAAATAAAACTCTATAATTAACAATTCATTTTAAAACTATAATACTATTAAAGGTGGGCATCGTGCCGTGCCAAATTTTGGCACACCCCAGCTCACGGCACGACACGACCCACGTGCCTGGTGGGTCGTGCCGTGCCGTGCCGGACTGCAGGCTAGCCCATTTTTTTTTTATTTTATAAATATATATGTTTATAAATAAATCTATATATATATTTTTTGAATAACTTAGTTTATATAAATAATGTTATTAATTTATGTTTATGTTTATGTTAATGTTAATATATTATTTTTGAACAACTTTAATTTAATTAAGTTTATAAAAATAATTTATATTTAAGTTTAAACATACATTATTTATATAAACTTAATTAAATTAATTAATTTAATATAAATATAATTAAATTAGTTTATATTATTTATTACTTAAATAAGTTTATTTAATTAAATAATTTTATATAAATAAGTCTATACAAATAAACTTAATTAAATAAGTTAATTATAATTGGGCATGGGCCGTGCCACGAGCCGTGTCGGCGACCGTGCCACCCGTCGTGCCCATGTCGGATTTTAATTTTTTGTTCACGGCACATCCCACGGCCCACAAGTGGCTCGTCGTGCCGGATATTTGACAATAATTTCCACAATGATCTTGTGAAATTCTTGATTTTGGTACTTTAAACTTTTTTTGTTAATGGTAAGAAAAAGGGACTCAACCAAATGAAACTCACGTGGTTTGATCGTTTGATGACTAAACATTAGGAATATGAGATTGGAAGCAATGTCACTCCTTGACAAACTCAAAGATTTTGTTATGAATTTCTAAATGTTT